GCACGGCCTCCAGGCACCGGGACATCACTTGACATTCACATTATGTATTCTCATCTTCATTTTTCTGAGAAACATGAAATCTTTTGTATTAATACTTCTGTGTTGGATTACTTAGGGAATCTGTATTATTAGGTTAATGGTTACCAGGCTCCATGAATATTCTCGTGGTAAATTCCATAATAAGAATTAAGCTAGAGAAAAGTTTGATATTATCGAAGAAGGTAGATTTTTGACTTGTGAAGGAGCATCTCAAATGGTAGTGATCACAATGGTGGGTCATGTTGTCCTGAAGCTGGAGGTTTTTAAGAAGAGACTGGACAGCCACTTGTCTGAAAATGGTATAGAGTCTCCTGCTTGACCAGGAGGCTGGATTAGAAGACTTCCAAGGTCCCCTCCAGCTCTATTCTGACTGAAGCTTTTGCATTTATGGTTCACTTTTTGAACACAGTTGGACTTAGCTGTTTGGACCTACAGTAGATGTCAAGCTTCAGCTCAAGTATCTAAATAAAAGTCCAAGATTATTTTCATTTCTGAAAAGCTTACTTTTTATTGAATATATGGCTTGGTAAAAGCGAGGAAAAACTAACTCTAAAGTCCCAAGGCATCAGACCATAGCATATAACAATGACTTTCCCAGCCAAACCCCTCACCCCCCAGAGGTCCACGTAACTAATGTAAACAAGTTCTCTTGCTTGAAAGGTTTCCATACTGCTGACTCTCAGCAAGTTCGTAGAACTGGAGAGTTTCCGTTTCTCTAACTAACCCATTCGAAAGCAACAACTCCCCCCCTCTCTTATTCTAATGGCAAGATGAAAACAGAGAGGCACGTAGCTGCCCAATTTTCACTCTTGACACTAGACCCCTTTCCACCATTGGAGCATCAGTGTTCTATTTTTATAGGCAATTAAAATCCTCTGCTTACTCCTTTGCCAAGATAGGTCTCCTAGGAATCTGTCGTGCTAGCTCTCCACTTTTTTCTTCAGGGGAGGTCCAGGCCTTTTACGAAGATCTGAACGGGCGACAGTATATGAATGAAGTCTTCAACTTTAGCGTGGATAAGCTCTATGATCTGCTGTTCACAAACTCTCAGTTCCTAAGGGATTTCATGGAGCAACGACGGTTTTCTGGTAAGCACTCATCAGCAGATACAGCTAGTTCTTGATTGACAGCCATCCTTCTACTGGCTGTGACAGCCATCCTTCTACTGGCTGTGCAAAGTTACCCTGGAAAAAGTGACTTACTGACCGTTTTTCACACTTAAGACCATTGAAGCCTCCCCCCATGGTCAAAATTCAGAGACTTGGCAATGGGCTCATATTTATGACGGTTGCAGTGTCCCGGGATTCATGTGATCCCCTTTTGTGACCTTCTAAGGTCAATGAGGAAGCCAGTCTCACTTAACAACAGCATTACTAATTTCAGAACTGCAGTGAATTCACTTAACAGTTGCGGCAAGAAAGGTCGTAAAATGGAGCAAAACTCACTTAGCAAATAAACTTTGGGCTCAGTTGTGGTCATAAGTTTGAGGACTGCCTGTATATTGTAAGCAACCTTGTCTTTCAGCTGGCTTCATCTCACCCATGTTGGATTTCAAAGTCCTTTTAGATAGAAATAGGGCACCCTGTGTTTTCAACCTTATCTGCAAAGCTTTTACTGTTCTGTGAATGGACCAGGAGTCTCCAACATATGAACCTTTTCATCCTCCAAAGTATAGCAGTTTCAAAGGTTTGGGTTCCAAAATTTAGACTGGGATGTGGGGGGGGGGAGAAAGAATCCTCCTAAAATTATTTTAAAATGTTTAAATTCCTGGCCGAAGCAACAATGAGGTCCCACTTCTTTCTGATCATCCAGTATTGCCTACTTCTCTTCTCTGACAATATTAGAAAGCTGCAGTTGTAGAAAATAGCTTTTTTTTCACGTGCAAGAATAAATATTTCCCTGTTTATGTAATTAGCATTGGATTATTTCTTCAAGAAGCTCAGTTTATTGCAAAAGGGATTACTAGATGGGCTTCAGAGATGGAATCAGCTTTCCGTTTATTCTGGTGGATTTCCCAGAGAAATGCAATCCTGTGAGAAAGTTTAAGCAAGTTGCTTAAAATCCTCTTAGGTTTTTTTAAGTCCCTGTACACAATCAAAATTTAACTATCTACGGTCTTTTAAAATCCCAACAGGACATCTTCAGTTTTGACTGAAGCAAATTAAAGTCCTGCAAAACACGCTTAAGGACCATCCCAAAGGTGCTTTTTCAAAAGGCAACTGGACTTCATTTTTCCCTGAAGATGTTTCACTTCTCATCCAAGAAGCTTCTTTAGTTCCACACATCTCTGAAGAAGCTAATTGGTTGAGAAGCGAAACGTCTTCAAGGAAAAAAACCAAGAAAGTCCAGTTGCCTCTTGAAAAAAAGCACTTTTGGGACAACCGTGACCTGGATGACTGAGAATCTCCACAGACTTAAGGGACCACCTTTCCATTTTATTAGCTTTCTTTTATGATGCCTCAGAACTTTCCAAATTTTCTTATGTTGTTTTGGATGAAATTGAGCAAATCGTGGTAGAAAAGAGAGGGAGAAAGAATCTGCTTTTGAAGGGGAAAAAAATTGAAGCATAGATTGGAAGCTTTCTTTAAGACTGTTTTAGTTTTTTGGGAAATCATCAAATTTGGAAGGTATTTTTTGACTCTTGTGACTTCTTAACGACATGTTGCTGTGCAATCTCTGGATCTGAAAGAATTCAGAAGAAAGTCAGTCTTTACAAGAACAAATCATCTAGGGCTCAGTATCGGGGTGTGTTTTGTTTTGTTTTTTTAAAAAAAAGGGATCAAGAGTGGTCGTTTGAATAAAATGGGAAACCGAGCCAAGTTAAGGACTCATGCTAAACAATAACGTCCTGTGTCTGTTGTGTTGGATCAGCCAGCTGAAGTGGAGGTGGGGTCATCGGCAATACTTGATCTTGATCGTGGGAGAATATTTTTTCTTTCCCTTGGGAACTGAAACTTTATCTCCTCCCTTCTATGATGCAACATTCCCCTCCCCAAAATCATCCTTCACTTGCCTTTCTCCTTAGATGTTGTTTTTCATCCATGGAAAAAGGAAGAAACTGGCAATCAAAGCAGAGTTATTCTCTACACCATCACACTCACCAACCCCCTAGCTCCAAAAACTGCCACCGTTACTGAAACTCAGGTAAGAGGCTTAGTTTTAGCCCTTTGAAGTCTACAAGTTGATGGTCTTCTTGAAATAGGAACACTTGAGTATATAAGCAACTAAGATGATACAAGGCCTGGAGACTAAAACATACGAAGAACGGCTGTGGGACTTGAATTTGGCTAGTTTAAAGAAAAAAAGAAATAGGGGAGACATGAAAGCAGTGTTCCAGTATCTGAGGGGCTGCCACAAAGAAAAGGGGGCCAGGTTGTTCACCAAAGCACCAGAGGGAAGGACGAGAAACAATGGTTGGAAACTGATCAAAGAGATAAGCAGCCTGGAATTAAGGAGAAACTTCCTGACAGTGAGGACAATCAATCAGTGGAACAACTTAGCCCCAGAAATCATGGGTGCTCCATCACTGGAGGTTTTTAAGAAGAGGCTAGACAGTCAATTGTCTGAGATGGTATAGGTTCTCTTGCTTGAGGAGGGGATTGGACTAGAAGACTTCTAAGGTTCTATTCTATTCTATTCTATTCTATTCTAGTCTAATCTAGTCAAGTCTAGTCTAGTCTAGTCTAGTCTAGTCTAGTCTAGTCTAGTCTAGTCTAGTCTAGTCTAGTCTAGTCATTGTGTCCTCCTCAGTAGACCAAACTGGGACCATTTATAGTGCTGCTTTTCTCCTCTCCCCAGACAATGTACAAAGCAAGCCAAGAAAGTGAGTGCTATGTTATAGATGCTGAGGTGCTAACTCATGACGTTCCCTACCACGATTATTTCTACACAATTAATCGTTACACATTGACGCGTGTTGCCAAGAACAAATGTCGACTCAGGTGAGTTTCCCTTAGCAGTAGGTTGTGACATTAACATGTGTTGTTTATGACGGCTTCTGTCTGAAATAACTTTGATTGGTGTCTGTTTCTGTGCCTGGAACAATACATTTCTGAAAGTAATTTTTGGTAGCTACTGAGTCACTTCAGTAAAGATCAGGATAATTTTTTTTGAATCTCTATAACTCAGCAATCAATTTTTTTAAAAGAAGAGGAAGAAGCTACTTTGGAAAAATATTTAGATCAGGAACAACAAACTTGGTGTGAAATTTTTCAGAGAAACAGATTTGAGCCAACTAAACATGAGTAGATACTTGAGGAACTCTTCTTGTTCATGTAAGGTCTTTGAAGATGGTGGCTTGTTTTTTACTAGCATCTGGACAGCCAACTGATAAACATGAGAAGATACTTGAGGAACTGTTCTTGTTCATGTAAGGTCTTTGAAGATGGTGGCTTGTTTTTTACTAGCATCTGGACAGCCAACTGATAAACATGAGAAGATACTTGAGGAACTGTTCTTGTTCATGTAAGGTCTTTGAAGATGGTGGCTTGTTTTTTACTAGTGTCTGGACAGCCAACTGATAAACATGAGTAGATACTTGAGGAACTCTTCTTGTTCATGTAAGGTCTTTGAAGATGGTGGTTTGTTTTTTACTAGCGTCTGGACAGCCAACTGATAAACATGAGTAGATACTTGAGGAACTTTTCTTGTTCATGTAAGGTCTTTGAAGAAGGTGGCTTGTTTTTTTATTTGCATCTGGACAGCCAACCGATAAACATGAGTAGATACTTGAGGAACTCTTCTTGTTCATGTAAGGTCTTTGAAGATGGGGGCTTGTTTTTTTACTAGCATTTGGACAGCCAACTGATAGGGAAGCTACAGTGAGCTTAGATAGTCTTTGAGATTTTTTTCATCTTTATAATTCTTCATTTCAGGGTTTCTACAGAGCTACGTTACAGAAAACAGCCATGGGGACTAGTGAAATCCTTCATTGAGAAGAACTTTTGGAGTGGTCTTGATGACTATTTTCGCCACTTAGGTGAGAAGCTGCAGAACCTCTCTAAAGGAATTACCTTCTTTGCCTTTTCGTTTGTAGGGTATAAAGTTGGACTTGTTGGGATCAGCTTTCAATCTTTAGATCACAGATGTTCAACATTGGCAACTTTTAAGACTTGTGGACTTTGGCTTCCAGAATTTCCCAGCCAGCCATGGTTGGTCACTCCTGCTCTAGATAAAATCTGGAGATTTCTTAAAAGGTCTAGGTTGATAAATAAGAACTCATATTAAGATTTATCTCTGCATTTTAATGCAGCAGCACTTTTTAAAGGAGATGCATAAGAGCCATCAGAACAAGGAATCACTCAAGGTTCTTGTCAGAACAGATGAATCGCTTCTGCTCTCTTGAAGTATTAATGCTGGTCCTGACCTAGCAAACAGAACAATAGTTTGTTGCCCAGCCTGCAGATTCTGACTGAACCTGGGATTTGCCTCCTATGGAATATTCCTGGATTACACCGCTGAGATTTGTTAGCAATCTGCCTAACAAAAATCATGCTTTTGTCTAATTTAGGTGGAAAAACAAAGAACCTGTAAACCTTCATTATATTTTAAATTCCTTCCTCCCCAGTCATCCAGACATTAGGTTCTCCTCCATACAGTTGGCTTCACCCATTTGCAAGATGATTCCAAGCAGGCCCTGATTGTTGACGTTTTTTAGACGATTGTTGTCTCACCTACAAAATAATTGCATCCTCTCTGGCCTAAACTAGAGGTTGAAAAGAGATCACTGTCTTTTGACCAAGCTGAACTATGCCTCTTTCTCCCTTGTTCTTTTTTTTCCCACCGGTCTTCTCCCCGGCAGAGAGTGAATTGACCAAGACCGAGAGTTCATATCTAGCAGAACTTCACAGGCAGTCACCCAAAGAGAAGGCGAACAAACAATCCTCAGTCCGGCGGAGGAAACGACCCCATACACACTTGAGGGGTCCTCATCTGGAGGAAGTACTGAGCCCTGTTACCACTCCCACAGATGAGGAAGTTGTAGGTCGAATCAAGCGTGTGGCAGGTATGGTGTGACCAGTTCCAAAAGATGAAGCATGACAGGGTTGACGGGACAGGAAGAGATCCAGCTGTATGGTTTTATCAAGGGTGTGACACACAGGCATCTTCAGTGGTAGTCAATTATATTTCTTGGAGGATTATATATATAACGCAAGGTTGGGAACCCCTCAGGTTGTTGTTCTATGGAGATTCTCCATCCTCCAAGTCATGGTTGTCCCAAAGGTGCTTTTCCAAAAGGCAACTGGACTTTCTTGGGTATTTTTCCCCTTGAAAACATTTAGCTCCTGAAGAATGGAAGAAGCTTTTTGAATGAGAAGCAAAAGGTTTTCAAGAAACACCCCCCCCCCCCAAGAAAGTCCAGTTGCCTTTTCAAAAAGCACCTTTGGGACTCCAGTTCATTGACCAAGTCTGATCCCTCCCTTGGCTGGTGTTGGAGATCAATTGATTTTCAACCTTAACCACAGACTTCTAGAGATCACACCTTGTTTAATTTCTGTTGGATACATTGGCAGTTGAAGACACTTTGTCTTTGTTCTGTGGCCTGGTTCCAGGGTGCCTTTGTAACAGGAATCTCCCTGTCCCCATCCCACTCAAAGAGCATGTGTGAAACATAGCTTGAAGTTGTTCCTGGCACAGCTAGCTTTGAGAAGATAGGATGGGGGAAGAACCTCTGATGAAGGTGTCCCTTCAGTCAAGCACATCTGCTCCTTTCCAGGTTCCACTCAAACACGGCATATCCCTGAAGAGAGTCCCAGCAGCTTCCACTTGCAGAATGTCTCCAAATTGCTGCTTGTTATTAGTTGTGTGTAAGTAACTCCTTGTCCTTGCCTTGATTCTTTTTTCCTCTTCCTCTGCTATGGATTTATGATGAGTTTCTTCCCTGCTCTTACTCTGTTTCATTTCACAAGTCAAGGCTACCAAAAAGGCTAGTCTTATCATCATAGTTGTGGATAAGTCAAAATTGATTTAACTTCCTATGGCAGTGGTGGCGAACCTATGGCACGGGTGCCAGAGGCGGCACTCAGAGCCCTCTCGGTGGGCACGTGCACCGTCGCCCCAGTCCTAGGCCTTCAGCTGGGTTTTATAAAACCTTTTCGCTTTAGGCCTCCGCCACCGTGTACAAAAAAAAAAGGTTCAATCAATGAGTCAATTTCAACTTCTCGCGGGAAAAAAAAAGATCTTGCAAAGTTGGAATTGATTGATTGAACTTTTTAGTCCCACCCAGTCTGCGGTTACCACCGCAGCCACGCCCACCCAATGGCCACACCCACCCAATGGACCACGCCCACCCGGCACCCGACGATGCATAAGTGGGTTTTGGGTTGCAGTTTGGGCACTGCAAGGTGCCCAAAGGTTCTCCATCACTGCCCTATGGGTACAATTTGATTTTCTTTTCAAACTGCCACCGCCAACAGCGTCACCTGCTGGTACGAAATGTCCCACAAAGCATCATCGGAAAATGTTATTGTCTTTATCCATGCTAACAGCTCTCCAACAGAACCTTGGCTTAACCATCTTAATTTTCATACCACACCTTAATTGCTTTACGACCTAGACATTTTTTTTATTGCTATCTTGATTGCTTTCGTGTTCAGGCTTTTCATATGCCAGTTGAGACTTGAGTTTGGTGGCAGAGGCTGGAATTGGGGGAGAACATCTAGAAAAATAGATGGTCTGCTTAGATTGTAGCAGGAGCGGGCAACTATGACAACTTTATGACCCGTGGAGTTCAATTCTCACCATGACTGGCTCAGGAAATTCTGGGAATTGAAGGCCTCAGGTAGTAAAATTGCCATAGTTGCCCACTCCTGGGTTGGAGACTATAATAGTGTGTACTTCTGACCACCTTTAGGGGGTTCTGACAACCTTTAGGAGAAAGTCAGGAAGAAGCTAAGGATTAGCACCTCTTCCTTCTCCATGCCAGAGGCACTGGTGGCTTTCCCACAAATTTTCAAGCTTCTCCATGGCCCGAATCCTTAAAGCTTGCATTCTCCTTGAGAAGTCTCTTGGCCAACCTGGTCAACCTACTTAACCTGATCTTCTAATATTTGTCATACTGATGAGTCTAACGCCGATCTGCCTCTGCTGGTTTCTCAAGGTTGGGTGCTTCCCTACCGCCCTGTCACGCTGTGATTTCCCTGCTTTGTGCGTGTCCTTCAGAACTTCCTTTGTGATGTTCTCCTCTCCTAACCTTTGCTTCCCCCATCTTTTCTCTTTCCTGCTCCCGTTAGGATTTGCTTCAGGTATTGCCTTCTTTCCCTTTTATCACTGACCTTCTTTTCCGCCTCTTTCTCTCTTTGCATCTCAATTGGTAAGCTGGCTCTCTTTCACTCTGGCTGCCTGATCTCAGCTTAGATTTTCTGGTTCTCCGTTCTTGGGCTGAAGCTTTTATTATTTATTTTGGCTTTTCCTTTAAAAAAAAAAAAAAATACCCTTTGCGTTCTTTTCTGTTCTTCAAACTGAACACAAATGAAGATTGAGCCAAGCCTGTCTCTTGCTATCTATCGTTCCTCCTGCTTCCCTTGATATAAAGCACACCTTTTTGCCAGAATCATCTTTGAGTGATGCACAATGAGAAATATGGACTAGACAAAAAGGACCCACAAGTAGACAATCAAACCCTATCATAAACAAAGGATAAAACCCAAGATGAGCAGCTACCATGAGCTGTGCTTTAAAGCAGGTGTGTCCAACCCTTGGCAATGTTAAGACTTGTGGACTCCCAGAATTCTTTGCTGGACTGGGGAATACTGGGAGTTGAAGTCCACAAGTCTCAAAGTTGCCAAGGTTGGACATCTCTGGCCTAAAGGCTCTTGATGTTTTTAGCAAGGTGGGTTCACACATACTTTTTTGGGAAAAAAGTATTTCACTGGGTGAGAAGTATCATGGAGAAGACCTCTGCCTTGCTCACAGCCTATGTTCCATGCAAGGAGTAGGGAGTTTCCTGATTAGTGGGGTTTGGTTTTGACAAGCCTTTGCCTCCAACATGACAGTGGACGACAGGCTCTTCCCGGTCCCAGGATTTGACTTTTTTCTCTAACTGTTCCTGCTTTTGAGCAGTTTCAAAAATTAACCTCTTAAGGGCTCACCTTAAGGGCCTTAGAGCAATCTTTCTTAACTGGGGTTCCCCAAGAAATGATGGTGACTAAAAAAAAAAAAAGAATACACTTTTAAAAAAAAAACTCTATGCACCATGCAGTGCTGACACTACGGAGGTGGAAAATGACCGTTATTACCGGACTTCTACTTATTAATCATGTAAGAGCTTGTAGATATAACGATTTTAAGGAAGGGATTCCCTAAGAGTTGAAAATGATCTCAAAAGGGTCTTCTAAAGCAGAACCTTAGAAAATGTTAGCTGGAAATTCTGGGAGTTGCAGTCCACACCCCTTAAAAGTTGCCAAGTTTGAAAAACACTGTTCTAGAGTAAAAACGTTGAGAAAGATTGCCCTTGAGGTTGGCCATTATTGCCCCGAAGGCCTGAAAATGTTGCTTTGTTCTAATTGGGCCAATGGTGGGAAACAACTCCCCTACCCCCCTCCCACCCCAACATTTGATCACCTCCTACCTAGTAAGACTTCAGGAAACCATTAAAAACAGAACTGGTGCAGGGACCCTTTCCATCACAAATGCCGCCGTCTTCATTTATCGCTTTTTGATCCCTTATTTTATGATTTGAGCCCTGCTTCAGGTATTGTGTCTTTGTGATGCAAAATTGCTGACGCTTTATTGTTGAAGCCCCTCCGAGTTTCTTGATCGCAGCCATTAAAAAAATGGTGGGGCAGGGAACAAGAATTGCTGCTAAGACTGCTTATATATATACTCTCTCTCACACACACACACACTCTCTCTCTCACTCTCCATTGTTCCCCAGTTTGGTGCTTTTGGTCATCCTGAATATGTTGCTGTTCTACAAGCTGTGGATGTTGGAATACACAACTCAAACCTTGACCGCATGGCAGGGGCTACGTTTACAGGAAAGGTAACAGATGCAGACAGAGGATTAGATACCAATGGTGACCTAGCCCAAGACTCTCTTAACTACATTCTTTATATATGGGGACCCTTCCTTCCTTCCTTCCTTCCTTCCTTCCTTCCTTCCTTCCTTCCTTCCTTCCTTCCTTCCTTCCTTCCTTCCTTCCATCTCAATAACTCCCGGTGACTTACTATTAAAATATATATATATCTCAAGAATAGCAAAGTTGGAAGGGACTATGTTTATTTATTAAATTTGTTTGCCACCCATCTCATCACAATATTGCAATCAGAGCATTAAAAACATTTAAAAACAATAAAAAACACGCAAAATAAATATACATAGCAGCCGAGATACTTGGCCAGTTATCAATAAAGCCAGGAATTGGGGCCCTTGAGATATTCATCACCCCAGTCTTGGGAACATAGCCAGGTTTTTAATGGACTTATGAAAGGCTAACAGGCTTAGGGCCATTCTGATCTCCAAAGGGAGGGTGTTCCAGGGGCCACTGCAGAAAAGCCCATCTTCTAGTCCCCACCAGTTGACACTCCTTAGCTGATGGGATCTACAGCATGTCCATTCTTACGTTTAAACCCATTTACTCACCAGGGTTTCCTCAAGGAACTCACTTTGGCATGCAAGATACTCTGCCATGTAATGTAATTTTGGCTGTAAGAAAGGCTCCCAGCTGGCTTCAAGCACTTTTATTTCTCTCTTTGTTTCTTGGTCTCAACAGGTTGCCCCAATCTCAGACTGAGTGGGCCCAGTTGTTAGAGTCCCAGCAGAAATATCATGACACAGAGCTCCAAAAATGGCGAGAGATCATCAAATCATCAGTGGTTCTCTTAGATCAGGTGAGAGCTACCTCCAACCTAGGGGAGAAATCATGGATTGAAGGCAGATTGAAGGCAAGTCAAACAAAATAGCAAGCCACTTTGGTCTGTGTTTTGATTTCTTCCATTTAGGAAGGAGAAGTGGCAAAACCTGGGGGCAGAGTTAAAAGAGGGATCAGCTCAGAATCCTTACATAACCACAAATGAATTAAGTCCAATCTCCCTTGAATTCTCTTCACCTAGCAGGTACTAAATTGTTAGCTAAGAAGGTTCCTGTGCATAGGCATGAGTAACAATACATCAGATTAACTAGACATTCACGTGTGGACCTGTTCTTTCATGCCTGACAATTGATGTCCAGTCTTTCTTCTAAGTTGTGCAGGATCCTATCTGTGAGATTATCTTTTGTTTTATACTCACAATAACAATTACATTAGGTAGCTTTGGTTGAGAGATACTAAAGTAAGGCAAAATCATTAGCAAACTCTACGAGAGGATTAAACCCTGGCCTCTCCAATCAATACCTTGATCTCCTCACCACATATTCAGATATCCTTATGGAATGGATATTCCACCCCCCCCCCCATTTCCTACTTCCAGGTCTGGCCCTCTTTTATTCATACATAGTGGAGACATCTGATGCCCCGGAAACCATCTGGGTTCTGCCGTAAATCTGCTAGGCTTTGTTGAGTTGCCACACAGCTCTTCCACAGTTGTGTTACTTGCATGCTGATTTTTGAGCGTCAGCCTTCCAGGCAACCTGTTTTGTGTTTTCAAGATGGTGTCTTTGCTTTACAGATGAAGGATTCCCTCATCAACCTTCAGAAAGGCATCGGCTCTCGTGAATATCGGTCTGAGTCAGATGAGAAACGGAAACGGTTCTACTAGCAGGCGGGAACACATGTGGCCAGAGGATTGCGTGCAATATATGTACATAGAGAATGAATATCATCACCGAGGAAGGACCAGAATGTGATGGAGGAATTGGGCTTTTCCGGCACTGAGGCATTGTGGGAAAATCCACTCCGGCCCTCCTGGATTCATGCATCTTTCTTGGCATTTTCCTGGCTCTTTGTTTATTTGTCTGCCTCTCTTGAGCGGGAGCGGGGAAGACGTAGGAAGCCATGAAACCCTCCTTTGGAGCTGACCCTTAACTAGTCTTGGCACAAATGGCCTATTTGTTCTGGCATGGAGGAACTGTTGTGTTATTTTTTTCGGCAAGAATGCGGTTGGCCGGCTTCCCCGGGCGAGTCTTCAAGCCGGCTGCCAAACAGAGCATTGTTGCTTGTTTTCACAGGATCCCTTTGCGGGATTTCTCTTTTGTTGGCAAGTGGACTTGGCACATGCTTCCCCCCACCCATGCTGCTATACTTCGGGGGAGAGTGGCCGCCCCATTGTGTGACCGGATGAGTTTGTTTGAGGAGATAGACAGGAAGCTGTTGTGTGCGTGGAAGGGCCTTATGTTCAGCTCACTCAGGTGCTAACTCCCTTTGTGAAGGATGAGTTCTGCTAGGGGTGGCCAACGATGGCAACTTTGCAACCTATGGACTTCAGTTCCAGAATTCTGGCTCAGGAATTCTGGGAGTTGAAGTCCTCAGCTCATAAAGTTGCCATCGTTGGCCACCCCCGAGTCATGTTTTGTTCCTCTCCTTGTTTCAGCTTGAAGGCATCTTCTCTGTCTGTTGAATCCTTTGACCTTTGCAGCTTCAAGTAGTTACTCGAGAGAGCTGTCGCTCTGCTTAAAGGGCTATCTGTACTTGCAGAGATACCAATGGAGATCCAGATCAAGGGAGCTTCTTCTCATGTATAAATGTCCAAGCCTTCCTACAGCAAAACAAAACAAAAAGGCAACAACAGATTGAGCTACCACCCAAGAACATGTCTCAGCTCAGCAAGGGGCTTAAAACGTCTGCTTTGAAGTCTTTGTTCCAAATTTTGTATTTATTTAAGCTTGTTTCTTGAACCCATGGAGAGTTGAAGAAGAAGAAGAAGCATAAAGAGAAATAATTTGGCTTCTAGTAGTGAGCGATGGGCTTTACCCTGATGTGTCTGTCGGCTTAGGCCACGGCAAGTCACTGTGCATTCACACAAAGGTTCTTGTAAAAGTCTGAAGGAGACTTCTGGGGATACATTCAGCAATTGTCTGATGTGGACTCAGACTCCAAATTCAAAGACGCATGTTGATGCTTTAAAGCAGAGGTGTCCAACCTTGGCAACTTTAAGATCTGTGGACATGCTGGCCAGGGAATTTGGGGACTTGAAGTCCACAAATCTTAAAGTTGCCAAGGTTGGACATACCCCCTCCCCTTTAAAAAAGGCCTTCTTGGTGGTCCCTAGCAATCAAAGGCCAAAGCATGGCAGCCCAGCAAAACACAGACCTAAGAACATTTGTTGGCTGAGCTTTGAACAAGAAAGTACAAAAGTGTTCTATTTTTAGGACTTTTCCTTGAAAAAAAACCACACACACATACCCCTTGAAAGAATTCACCAAACAATGATGCTGTCTTTGTGGATTTGGTCAAAGCAACATTTCTCTAACTGGGAAATGAAGCAAACTTGAAGATGGTTTGTGGGCGGTGGGTCAGTTTTCTCGTGCAAAAAGCAATATAGTTTTCTAGAAGGCCAAAGCTGAGCATGGAATTTCTCTGCCTCCTAGTGAAAAACTAGAGGTTTCCAGGAAAGAAATAAAATGAGATTTCCATCTTTCAGGCTTCATCTTGATGGTGAGCCTCAGTGTTTAACTGTTCTGCACTAAATGCCATCTTTTGGGGGCAACTACGATCAGTATATTGCTTCTATGTAGATTATCGACCCAGAAAGAGAAATCATACTTGACATGAATTCTTTATCTGAATTGGGCCTTGTTTATGATGAAAGTTGCCATCTTCTCTCCACACGCCGTTGAAAGATAAAAAGGAGCAAACATTAGCCAAACCACAATCTCCTCCTCCTTGATTGACTAGTAGAGGCACCACAAGAGAGCCTCAAAACCAGACAGCCAAGCAGGTCAGCCCAAGGCAGAACCCATTTCTAGACGTTCTCCATGTTTCCAGGATGTTGATCAACGCAATTGCAAGGTATCTACTTTGGCACCCAAGCTGTACGATTTTACACGGGAGCAAATGCTCAACAGGTTGGAAGTGAATGAAACTGAGTTTTTTTTTTTTAAACATGCTCCACTGGAGAAGCAGGAAAGCTTTTTCTTCCTGAATTTGATTTGCTTTTTTGTTAGTTGGCTGGGCTAACTGGCAAGAGATAGCAAGCAGAGACAAATATTGCAATAGTCAAGATTCTTTAGGAAGCCAGAATGGCTGATGGTCACCAGTAGGAGAAAAGTCCGAGGGTAGCCGAGAAGATTGTTGACAGTAAATCTGGGAGACTTTAACTTATGGGGAGGATTGCTTAGATTAATTTATTGCATAAATATATATTTTCGTGCAGCTCTGCTGATTGGCAATCTTTGGGGACATATTTGCTGCTTGTTGAAGGGGCCCTGAATCTTTTCTTGGTGATTACAATCAGGCTTGGGGGCCACGAGTGCTTTTCATTCAAAATTGCAGAAGTTTGGATGAAATTTCTCCTCAAGGCGAGGAAAGGGAGGAGCGAATGTGAGCTTTGACTTCCTGAAAACGTAACAAGGGTGTTGTGCATTACTGTTATTTAAACAAAAATATTTTCTTTGAAAGGGTGGGCGGGCACAATGGTTTGCAGGACAGACTGAAGAAAAGCGTTTAGGGTAGCATTTTTATTTTGCGTGATTTTTAAGAGACATTGAAGAGAACTTGGGATTCGTGGTCATTTCATAACCGAGCGTTTAACAGACTCACCCCAACAACATGTATTCTCCCTTTTTCTTTTTCCCAAGAAAGTCTCAAAACTCTCTCTTTTGCGGGGGTGTGGGTGGGGTGCAGCTGCATTGTTTTTAATCCCTCAGAGTTTTGCCCATCAGCCAAAACTGTTTTTTGCTCCGTTTGGAATAGGGTTAACGGTAGGGGAGATGTTCAGAGTTTTAAATGGATTTTGCTTAGTTTATATGCAGGATTAAAATCCAGGAGACCTATAAGTGTGTGAAAAGGACCTGGGTCTCCCTCTCAATTTGTCAGTGAAGACATTTGTTTGCATGAAGAGAAAAAAAAAACCACACACCTCTGCATGGCTGTTTTCCTTCCTGGTTGAAGTGAATTAGGCTGTGGTTGCAACCGGGTCAGAAAGAACTTCCGTGTGTCATTCAGAAAGGACAATTTGGGGGGTGGGGTGGAGAGGGGGAACACAGACTTGAGAAGCAAATGCCTCTGCGTTCTTGAATCCACTGTAGCTCATTTTGTTTGTTCCTTTGCCTGAGCCCGAGGGGTACACTCCACAAACGAGGAATGTTATGTTTTATTAGTTTTAACCAAGTTTAAGCCTGTTTTGCAACGTTTCATCTCTCCCCCAATCCCCCTATCTGTCCTGATCCTGACCTGGTTACCTGTAACTAATTTTGTTACAGACATGTCAAACTCAACTGTCTTGGCTTCTCTTCACACTTGTTGTGGGTCGCCCATCTTTCTCGTTATTGGTGAGAGTTGTGGTCAGCAAATTCAGCCCCTTGGTTTTTTGTTTTTTGTTTGGTCTATGCATTCCACGCCAGTAAGCTGTCCTGTTATGGTAGGGCTTTGCCAAGGGACACTTGGTATCTAGAAAGAGTTTCTGTGGTCTCCTTCCTTCACTTCCAGCTTTGATTTCTAGGCTGTGAAGTCCAGGGGTTGCATTTTAACATAGCTGACCGTTCCCTTTGGCTCCTGCAGCAGTCAGTCCATAAAAATCCATTGTTGGCTTCTCAAGTTTGTAGCAGAGAGCATCAGAGGTACCAAGGACTTCTTCTGCTGTGAGACTGGGACCTCCAGACTTTCAGAAGGTCTTGGTGATACCTTCATATTCCCTAATGATCAATGTTCTGGTGTGAATCTTTTGTTTCCTCATGCCCATGCTTTCTCCTGAGGCTGTTCCTCATGCTCTGCTATCTGGCTCATGCGGGTGGAAGCACAGATGACTCTTCTTCCTGTGCCATTCATCCCTAGATGTGCCAATCAGCCAAATGAAAGGGTTAACTGTCTAGCTGCAGCCACCCACCGTGCTTATTGAGGACATGTTCTCCTTCACCCCTTTCTTGAACACAGCAACATGGGACAGCTGTTGGCTCCTTTAGGATTCTTGCCCTCTGTGGCCTGACTTGATGCTAAGAGTTTTGTCTTCAGGCCAATGGGGCATCCTGGAATGGTAAGGAGGAAGGCAAGTTCTCCCCTTCTTTATCACCTTCAATCTGTTGCTCTTTCTGACCACGGCTGTTGCGAAGACGATGGTGGTGATGGTGATTCTCAATGTTTACATTACCTCATTTTACTTTGGGGCAGTTGAGGTGTGGTACCACGGGATGCTCTGGGGATTGTTCTCCATGGGTCAAATTCTCCTAGTGATGCTGAAGTCTTTGGGACAGATTTGTGGGGAACTACTCCATTTCCAATAATCCAGCTCCAAAACAGGAACACGTAGCCATCTCATGATAGTCTCCTGCATGAATAAGGATGGTGGGAATCCACCCATCTCTCTTCTCCCCCCCTTTTTCTCACCTTAAGCATGACGTTTGGGATGAAGTCCCCCCCCCACAACTCATATTCTTAAGCTGCCACTTTTCTCCAGCTACTTTTTGACTCCCTAAAGAGAGGAAGATTTTTTTTCCAAAAGGGGAACTTTAAAGGGACTGGACAGAAGGCCAAGTAATATATCCTTTCCCACTTTCCCTGCATTCATTTCAGATGGAAGGATCTGGGACAATTACAGCATGATTCTGGAGCCAGGCCACATGCTAAAGATCCCTTCCCCCCCCAACCCCCCCCCCAAATTGTGTG